TTTTTCTTTTTGCTTATGTGGTGCTGAGGAATCGAACCCAGGGCCTCAGGCATGCAAGGCAAGTGCTCTACCACTGAGCCATCTTCCCAGCCCGTCCGTGAGACTCTTATCTCCAATAAAAACTACTAGAAAACCAGAAGTGGCACTGTGGCTCAAGTGGTAGAGTGCTCGCCTTGAGCCGAAGAGCAGAGGGACAGCACCCAGGCCCAGAGCTCAAGCCCAACTTACCAAAAAACAAAACAAAAAAAAAAAATTAACAAAGAAAAAACCTTGGGGCTGGGAAGGTGGTTCTGTGGTAGAGTGCTTACCTCGCATGCATGAGGCCCAGGTTTGATTCCTCAGTACCACAAAAATGGAAAAAGCCGGAAGTGGAGCTGTGACTCAAGTGGTAGAGCACTAGCCTTGAGCTGAAGAGCTCAGGGATAGCGCCCAGGCCCAGAGTTTAAGCCCCACAACCGACCAAACAAAACAAAACCTTGAGGTCAAGGTGTGAGGAGGACTGGGAAAATCTACCCCAGGGCTGCCCCTAGTTTCTAGTAGTAGCTGGTAAGCATCAGGGTACTTACTTCTGCCTTCATCTCTACATAGACTTAATCCCAAGAGTACCTGCATCCACATATCTCCTCCTCATTCTCCTTCTTTCTCCGTCCTTTGGTACTGGTACTGAGGCTTGAACTCAGAACCTAGGTGCTGTCCCTTAATTTTTTCACTCAGGACTAGCACTCTACTGCTGGAGCCACAGATCCACTTAAGGGTTTTGTGTGTTTGTGTTCCTGTGTGAGTGTGTGTGTGTTTGTAACTGGAGTCTCATGGACTTTCCTGCCTGGGCAAGCTTCAAATCTGGATCCTCAAATATCAGCCTTCTGAGTAGGTAGGATTACACAGTCATGAGCCACTGATGCCTGGCTCACATGTCTTCAGTAAGGACGCATCTCATGTTGGATGTCCCTAGTAATCTCCACTGAACTAATTTCATGAACAAAGACCTCATTTCCAAGCCAAGTCATGTCAGTGGAACACCTGGGGAACAGGGCTTCAATCTGTGAACTGATATGACCAGTACCATCTGCTTTGGGATCATCTATACCTGTGGTCTCGTTTTATTCTCACAACCACAGTGGAGCAGCAGACCGGCTTCCCCTTCAGCTCCTCATAGTGTCTAAGTCTTTGCTACCAACAGGCCCCATCCTCACACACATTGGCATCTCTCCTGCCGCCACTCTTATCCCTGCTGCTTTGATGATTGATAATAGTCCTCTAAGATTGTGATGCTGTTTTTAGTGTCAGTACTAAGGTTTGAACTCAGAGCCTGGGCATTGTCCCTCAGCTTTTTTACTCAGACTAACGTTCTACCACTTGAGCCACACCTCCCCTTCTGCCTTTTTTGGTGGTTAAGAGATAAATTTCACTGACAGCTGGTGGCTTTACGCTTGTAATACTAGCTACTCAGGAAGCTGAGATCTGAGGATCATGGTTCAAAGCCAGCCCAAGCTGGAGATGGTTAATCTCCAATTAACCATCAAAAACTCAAGAAGTAAGCTATGGCTCAAATAGTAGCATGCTAGCCTTGACCAATACAGTTCAGAGCTCTGAGTTTAAGGCCTGGGACTGGTACAAACACACAAAATATGTCTTAGACTTTCCTGCTCTGGTTGGCTCCGGAGATCTCAGCCTTCTGAGTTGCCAAGATTACAGGCGTGAGCCACCAGTGCCCAACTATGACACTGGTTTTCTATTACCCACAATACTGTATTCAAATAAAGCAGAAAGAAAATGGCCCAATTTCAAGAGACCAGCTGTTTGTGGGGATGAGGTATGATAGGGAGGGAGACTGCTGACATCTGATCGTCTCTGCTGCTCCTCAGGGGAAACCACAGCAGACACAGGCATGAGGGAAGCTGTGGGGTGTCTGGGGCAGGGCAGGTCATCCTGGCCATATTCTGAAAATTTGATAGCAAAATGGAGGGGAGGGCAGGGCTGTATACATTCACTTATCACACATCCACTCATGTTCACACTTCATAAAGGCAGTCCCTTGCTCTATCTGATGCAGAAAGAGGATTTATTTCCAGAATATTCTCAGGTAGTAAAATACACATGTAAGGATGTACACACAGAAGGCTCTCCTACAGCTGGCCCCGGTGCAGTAAGGAGGCTGAAGCAGCCTCAGGTGTAAAGTGGCGCCTCCATGGGCAGGAGATTTAGCTGGGCACCAGCGAAAGCCCAAAGCCTGGGCTGGAACCAGCAGCTTGATGAGTTGCCACCATACTCTTAGAGCCATGCTCAGGTGCACGGGGGCCGGAGAAGCACTTGGGCAATTTGGCAAAGGTCCAAGACCCCCTTCCTCAGGGGTGGGGTGCAACTAGGTGCTGAGGGCAGTGATCTTGTTGCCATGAAGGCGTGGCCAGCGGCACAGAAGCCTCAAGTTTTTGGCCCAAATATGATCAAAGGTACTGTGGCCACTCTCCCCTGATACAACTCCGGAAGGGAGTCAGGAGAATGGGGAGATAGTGTCAATTGTTAGATTCCTTTCTAAGGCACCTATCTGTCCCTGGCCCTTGTGTGTGCCATCCTTGAGTCTCTCCTGAGAGCCAGGCTCTGCTCCTTGCAGAGGAAGGCTCCTCCATCCTGTCAAAGCAGAAGCCCCAGGTTCCCAGCCACTGCTGGTGGCTGGCAGAGGCAGCACGAGTGTTCACAGACACAGGGCTCTCCTCACAGTCACGACCATACCTCCACCAAAAGGATGGGGCTGGCTTCTGGGATGCAAATGGAGGTTTCACCTGGGCTCTATGATTTGAGGAGAGGAAGGCCACCTGCCAGAGCCAGGCAGAACAGTGAATTCCAGAATGCCTGTCCATCCATCCAGGAAGGCTGGATGGATGGACAGACAGGGAGAAACATGTGTTCTTGCTGATGAGTAAACTTGCCTCCCACCATCCGTGTGGGACTGTCCAGAATGGCACATGGAGGACTAGGCCTGGCAGTCACAGTGGCCCAAGAACCTAACCATCAGACCCCTTTCAAGCCAATTGAGGGCACCTGCTCTGGTAATGCAGGCGGAGGTTGAGATGTGGAACTTAGGCCCAGGCCCATGGGGGTATTCAGCCTATGGTATTCTTCCTGGGCCCTGGTGAGTTGGCCTCACCTGACCTGGAAACAAAGGCTGTGGCTGTCACATGATGAGTGGCCACACATTCTCAGGGGCAATAAGCTGACAACCATTCAGCAGTGCTTGTGACAGGTCCACACACAGGAATGAGATGACCACAGGTCCCTGGGCCCTGGCATGGTAACAGTTCCAGCCTACTGGGATGGCGTTTCAGGCCTCCTATTTCCAAGGGCAGGTGGCAGAAGTGGACAGGGTGGAAGAGGCAGGTGGCAACAGGCCTAGCAAGCTCCTTCTAAGGCCAGTGGCTACCACTGGCTGGGTAGTTGGGCACAGTGGGGTATTCTGGCAAGCTATTCCCCGAGAAGTTGTTGTATTGGGCCTCCCGTGATGGTGGATTTCGCCAGGTGCCCATGCTCCACTCTGTCTGTGCCTTCTGGAAGCTTCCACCAGCCCCTCGATAGATCCTGTGCACCTGCAGGATAGGAGGACAAAAGAGGAGATATAAGAAAAATTAGCTGAGCTGGGTGCCAGTGGCTCTCGCCTGTAATCCTAGCTACTCAGGAGGCTGAGATTTGAGGATCTACTGTTCAAAGCCAGCCTGGCAGGAAAGTCCATGGAGACTCTATCCTCCAATAAACCACCAGACAACTGGAAGTGGCACTGTGGCTCAAGTGGTAGAACACTTGCCTTGAGCTGAAGAGCTGAGGGACAGCATCCAGGCCCAGAGTTCAAACCCCACGACCAAAAAAAACAGCTGGCTCATGAATATGACAGAGACCCAACACAGCAGAACTGGCTTTCCTGTTCCTGGCCCATAAATGCTAGTGTGTGGGAACACGGTCTTACTACCACAGAGTATGGATCTCCCATAAAATAAGACATACTAGAACTTGACAGCTTCCCTAGGGACACATATATGCACCACTCCCCTGGGACATGTCATTATGCTGCCTCATAACCAGTGTGGGGGTACCACCCATGTCCAGGGCTCCATTCCCATCGACCACTGAGCTGTCTCAGGTTGCCACTCAGAGACATGAGCAAATAGTATTGTCACCTCAACAGCCCAGATCACAGAGAACATGTCACAGAAGTGTGGAAAGTGGGGATATCTTCAGAAAATAAAAGGGGGGCTGGGAAGGTGGCTCAGTGGTAGAGCGCTTGCCTTGCCTGCATGAGGCCCTGGGTTCGATTCCTCAGCACCACATAAGCAAAAAGAAAAAGAGCCGGAAGTGGCGCTGTGGCTCAAGTGGTAGAGCGCTAGCCTTGAGCTGAAGAGCTGAGGGACAGCGCCTAGGCCCAGAGTTCAGGCCCCACCACCGGACCCAAAAAAAAAAAAGAAAAGGGCAACAGTTATGGGTGTCTATGGTTTATGCCTATAATCCTATTTAGGAGGCTGAGATCTGTAGATCATAGTTCAAAGCTAGCCCAGCCCAGTAGCCCAGGTAGGAAATTCCTACAACCTTTTTTTTTTTTTTGTCCCTTCTAAGGGCTTGAACTCTGGGCTTGCTTGGGCACTGTCCCTCAGCTCTTCAGCTCAAGGCGAGCATGATAGTGCCAGTTCCTTGTGAGATTTTTTTTTCTTTTTTTTTGGTCAGTTGTGGGGCCTGAACTCTGGGCCTGGGCACTGGCCCTGAGCTTTTCAGCTTAATATGAGAGCTCTACCACTTGAGCCACAGCACCACTTCCAGCTTTTTCTGCTTATATGGTACTGAGGAATTGAACCCAGGTCCTCATGCATGCAAGGCAAGCACTCTGTCACTGAGCCACCTTCCCAGCCCCCTTGTAAAATTACTATTTTTTGTCGGTTGTAGGGCTTGAACTGTGGGCCTGGGCGCTGTCCTTCAGCTCTTCAGCTCAAGGTGAGTGCTCTACCACTTGAGCCACAGTGGCACTTCTGGTTTTCTAGTGGTTTATTGGAGATAACAGTCTCATGGACTTTCCTACCCAGGCTGGCTTTGAACCGTGATCCTCAGATCTCAGCCTCCTGAGTAGTCAGGATTACAGGCGTGAGCCACCAGTGCCTGAGGATCACAGTTCAAGGCCATCCTGGGTAGGAAAGTCCATGAGACTGTTACCTCCAATAAACCACTAGAAAACCGGAAGTGGTGCTGTGGCTCAAGTGGTAGAGCGCTGGCCTTGAGCTGAAGAGCTGAAGGACAGCTCCCAGGCCCAGAGTTCAAGCCCCACAACCGACCAAAAAAAAAAAAGGAAAATTGAGGGTGTGACCAAAGTAAGCTTCTAAGAGGCTCAGGCTCAGTTGTGATCAGTAAGCACCAGCTACTCCTAGGGTGTCCATTAAGCACATTGGTGGAGTTTTTGCAGCACTGACAGTGAACCTGGTGCCTTAGAAATGCACGGAGCTGTAACCAAGTCCAATAAACCCACAGTGGATTACAGCTTCAGAGCAACAGTCCAGATAAGGCAAATCCAGCACTTTGGTGTCTGAGGTTCTGGTAGGAACTGGAGAAAAGAGTGGAGCCTTTATGGGCACATGGAGGCCTCCCTCTCCCTCCTACCCCCCCTCCCCCCATCTCCTGATTCTGTCAGACACACCCAGCTCTGGCCACAGGTTCTCCTTTCAAAGACAAAGGCTGGTCCAACTGGCCAATTTGAGGCCTAGTCCTGTTCATATGTTCTCTGCCATTACTTTCATGACCAAGCCTAAGCTATGAGATGGTGATCACACATTGGACTCTGGAGACTTGATCGCCTATCATATGTCCCTCACCTGAAAGTCATGCTCTGTGGAGTAGCTCTGGGCACTCAGGGATGATGATCTCATGAAGCCTCTTGGAGGGGGGCCCAGATAGGGAGAATGAACTTACTGAGGGAAAGCACTGGCTGCCTCACCTGGGAGCATTAGGTCATGGATCCTCCTTGCCTCTGGGCTGTGATTCAAGACTTGGCTCCCTGCTGACTAGAGGCTGTGCAGGCTACCTTCTGATCATGCTCCTGAGCCATGTATTTCTAGAAACTCTTCCCAGCATGCATAAGGCTCTGGGTCACCCTCAGTACTACAAAACATATAGGTCTTTTGGTTTGTTTGTGCTAGTACTAGGCTTGAACTCAAGGCCTCAAGATTTTCTTTGGCTTTTTGGCTCAAGGCTGGCACTCTACCACTTGAGCCACAGCTTCACTTTTGGCTTTTGCTAGTTAAAATTGGAGATAAGTGCTTCAAGGACTTTGCTGGAAGGCTGGTTTTGAACAGTGATCCTCAGATCACAGGCTCCTAAGTAGCCAGGATTACAGTCATGAGGCACAAGTGGCCAGCTTCACTATGTACATGTGTGTGTGTGTTCATGCACGCACATGTGCATGTCATTCCTAGGGCTTGAACTCAGGGTTTGGGAACTGTCTCTAAGCTTTTTTGTTCAAAGCTAGTGCTCTACCACTTTGGGCCACAGTGTCACTTCCAGTTTTGGGGTAGTTAATTGGAGATAAAGAGTCTCACAAGCCGGGCCCAGTGGCTCACACCTATAATCCTAGCTACTCAGGAGGTTCACATCTGAGGATCACGGTTCAAAGACAGCACAAGCAAGGAAAGTCTGTGAGACTCTTTTTTT